ACCCACTATTAGCACCATTAAAATGTACCCACTATTAGCACCATTAAAATGTACCCACTATTAGCACCATTAAAATGTACCCACTATTAGCACCATTAAAATGTACCCACTATTAGCACCATTAAAATGTACCAACTATTAGCACCATTAAAAAGTACCCACTATTAGCACCATTAAAATGTACCCACTATTAGCACCATTAAAATGTACCAACTATTAGCACCATTAAAATGTACCCACTATTAGCACCATTAAAATGTACCCACTATTAGCACCATTAAAATGTACCCACTATTAGCACCATTAAAATGTACTTACTACTAGCACCATTAAAATGTACCCACTATTAGCACCATTAAAATGTACCCACTATTAGCACCATTAAAATGTACCCACTATTAGCACCATTAAAATGTACCCACTATTAGCACCATTAAAATGTACTTACTATGAGCACCATTAAAATGTACCCACTATTAGCACCATTAAAATGTACCCACTATTAGCACCATTAAAAAGTTTCAAATGTGATTTATTCTAGTGTTATGAAACTTAAAACCCACCCATTACCCAACACAGAGAAGCGTACCCGAAATAATTTTTATTTATTACTTAGATAACTGACATCACGTGGTTGAAGTTTGTATATCTGAACTTTGGGCTCGTCTGATCAAAATGGAGCTTCTAAACGTTAAAGATTTTGTCCAACATGGATCGATCTCGGTACTGAATATGTCACGCCAAATCATTGCCCAATCTTTGACATGTCACGTTAAATCATTGCCCAATCTTTGACATGTCAACCCAAATCATTGCCCAATCTTTGACATCCATCTAACTCTGCAGACGGTTTAATCTGTGGTGTTATTTGGTTTTTGTAAGTCTTAACCTAGAGCAGTGCTTTGGTCACTAGTCTTAACCTAGAGCAGTGCTTTGGTCACTAGTCTTAACCTAGAGCAGTGCTTTGGTCACTAGTCTTAACCTAGAGCAGTGCTTTGGTCACTAGTCTTAACCTAGAGCAGTGCTTTGGTCACTAGTCTTAACCTAGAGCAGTGCTTTGGTCACTAGTCTTAACCTAGAGCAGTGCTTTGGTCACTAGTCTTAACCTAGAGCAGTGCTTTGGTCACTAGTCTTAACCTAGAGCAGTGCTTTGGTCACTAGTCTTAACCTAGAGCAGTGCTTTGGTCACTAGTCTTAACCCAGAGCAGTGCTTTGGTCACTATTCTTAACCTAGAGCAGTGCTTTGGTCACTAGTCTTAACCTAGAGCAGTGCTTTGGTCACTATTCTTAACCTAGAGCAGTGCTTTGGTCACTAGTCTTAACCTAGAGCAGTGCTTTGGTCACTAGTCTTAACCTAGAATAGTGCTTTGGTCACTAGTCTTAACCTAGAGCCGTGCTTTGGTCACTAGTCTTAAACAAGTGCAGTGCTTTGATCACTAGTCTTAACCTAGAGCTGTGCTTTGATCTCTAGTCTTAAACTAGAGCACTGTTTTGGTCTCTTGTCTTATCATAGAGCAGTGCTTTGGTCACTAGTCTTAAACTAGAGCACTGATTTGGTCTCTTGTCTTATCCTAGAGCAGTGCTTTGGTCTCTTGTCTTAACATAGAGCAGCGCTTTTGGTCTCAAGTCTTAACAAAGGGGAGTGCTTTGGTCACCAGTCTTAATCTAGAACAGTGCTTTGGTCACTAAAATTAACATAATCAGTGACCATTTTCTCCAAAGTGCACGTGACCTTTTAAAAAATATAACTTTTTTTACATTTGTCGAAAAAAATTAATGGAATTTGTTTAAAATCTGTTACTTTAAATTGAAAAAAAACAACAACAAATTAACACAAATTAAGATGACATTAAACAATATTAACGAAATCCAGCGTGTCTACGCTGCTAATCTTGTCTCTGCTGCAAGTCTTGTCTTAACGGTTAGTCTTGTTTCCACTGCTAGTCTTGTCTCCAAAGCTAGTCTTGTCTCCACTGCTAGTCTTGTCTCCACTGCTAGTCTTGTCAGCACTGCTAGTCTTGTCTCCACTGCTAGTCTTGTCTCCACTGCTAGCCTTGTCCCAACTGCTAGCCTTGTCTCAACTGCTAGCCTTGTCTCAACTGCTAATCTTGTCTCCACTGCTAGCCTTGTCCCAACTGCTAGTCTTGTCTCCACTGCTAGTCTTGTCTCCAAAGCTAGTCTTGTCTCCACTGCTAGTCTTGTCTCCACTGCTAGTCTTGTCTCCACTGCTAGTCTTGTCCCAACTGCTAGTCTTGTCTGTACTGCTAGTCTTGTCTGCACTGCTAGTATTGTCTCCACTGCTAGCCTTGTCTCAACTGCTAGCCTTGTCTCAACTGCTAGTCTTGTCTGCACTGCTAGTCTTGTCTCCACTGCTAGCCTTGTCTCAACTGCTAGCCTTGTCTCAACTGCTAGTCTTGTCTCCACTGCTAGCCTTGTCTCAACTGCTAGCCTTGTCTCAACTGCTAGTCTTGTCTCCCCTTCTAGCCTATTTGATTACTTTTGGAACCCCTATGACCCACGCAGCCCCCCCCCCCCTCCCTAAACAAGATCCACAACATCACTTAGTTGACGACTTGGACGAATTTTGAACTTGTTCTTAGCATCATTAAGTCCATCATGCACTAAGTCCAGCAATGCTAGTCTTGTCTCCCCTTCTAGCCTATTTGATTACTTTTGGAACCCCTATGACCCACGCAGCCCCCCCCCCCTCCCTAAACAAGATCCACAACATCACTTAGTTGACGACTTGGACGAATTTTGAACTTGTTCTTAGCATCATTAAGTCCATCATGCACTAAGTCCAGCATGCACTAAGTCCAGCATGCACTAAGTCCAGCATGCACTAAGTCCAGCATGCACTAAGTGCATCATGCACTTGATTGTTTCCTTTCTTAATATATTTCTATGGATTGTCCATCTTGATTTAAATACAAAGATTATTACAAATTTCGATCATGTCCTTAAATAACTATAATTGCATCGCAAATATTAATCCAAATAAACATTTTTTTAAAATGCATACTCCTTTTTCCGTTCGTGATGTCCTAAATAAATGTTGTTGTTGTTATACATGTTGTTGTTGTTGTGTGTTGTTGCTGTATATGATGTTGTTGTATAAAAATACAAGTGTTTAGAATTAATTCAATATGAACAATTACCCCGACAATTATTTTCAAAATATTATAACAAAATAAATTTAAAAAAAAACACACCTTATGAAATCACTAATGGCCACCTCCCTCCCCCCCCACCGAACCCAAGGATTAACACCCCCTCCACCCCAAAAAATTCGACCTGAAAGGAACATACTCCACTACTCCCGGGTGGATGGGACCCTTTAACATTTAATGGAAACTTCTAAGAGAAAGAAAACTCTGAATTCAAACCAGAGATGGAGTTCCTTAGGCTGTATCACATTGACAAAATGAAATTTCTGGCAACTCCTTTGACGCTACTGTTGCCAAGAGTATACTCCAAACAGGATGTGCCCTTGGGTTATCCAGGTGCATGGAGAGAGAGGGGGGGGGCGATTTGCTGTCCATGGAACCAGCTTATCCACCTAAAAAATCGAAATCGCAAGGCGAAGTCTACACCATCGTCACATTGTGACAGGTCTACACCATCGTCACATTGTGACAGGTCTACACCATCGTCACATTGTGACAGGTCTACACCATCGTCACATTGTGACAGGTCTACACCATCGTCACTTTGTGATAGGTCTACACCATCGTCACATTGTGACAGGTCTACACCATCGTCACATTGTGAAAGGTCTACACCATCGTCACATTGTGAAAGGTCTACACCATCGTCACATTGTGACAGGTCTACACCATCGTCACATTGTGACAGGTCTACACCATCGTCACATTGTGACAGGTCTACACCATCGTAACATTGTGACAGGTCTACACCATCGTCACATTGTGACGGGTCCACACCATCGTCACATTGTGACAGGTCTACAACATCGTCACATTGTGACAGGTCTACACCATCGTCACATTATGACAGGTCTACACCATCGTCACATTGTGACAGGTCTACACCATCGTCACATTGTGACAGGTCTACACCATCGTCACATTGTGACAGGTCTACACCATCGTCACATTGTGACAGGTCCACACCATCGTCACATTGTGACAGGTCCACACCATCGTCACATTGTGACAGGTCTACACCATCGTCACATTGTGACAGGTCTACACCATCGTCACATTGTGACAGGTCTACACCATCGTCACATTGTGACAGGTCCACACCATCGTCACATTGTGACAGGTCTACACCATCGTCACATTGTGAAAGGTCTACACCATCGTCACATTGTGACAGGTCCAGACCATCGTCACATTGTGACAGGTCTACACCATCGTCACATTGTGATAGGTCTACACCATCGTCACATTGTGACAGGTCTACACCATCGTCACATTGTGATAGGTCTACACCATCGTCACATTGTGACAGGTCTACACCACCGTCACATTGTGACAGGTCTACACCACCGTCACATTGTGACAGGTCTACACCATCGTCACATTGTGACAGGTCCACAACATCGTCACATTGTGACAGGTCCACACCATCGTCATATTGTGACAGGTCTACACCATCGTCACATTATGACAGGTCTACACCATCGTCACATTATGACAGGTCTACAACATCGTCACATTGTGACAGGTCTACACCATCGTCACATTATGACAGGTCTACACCATCGTCACATTATGACAGGTCTACACCATCGTCACATTGTGACAGGTCTACACCATCGTCACATTGTGACAGGTCTACACCATCGTCATATTGTGACAGGTCTACACCATCGTCACATTATGACAGGTCTACACCATCGTCACATTGTGACAGGTCTACACCATCGTCACATTGTGACAGGTCTACACCATCGTCACATTGTGACAGGTCTACACCATCGTCACATTGTGACAGGTCCACACCATCGTCACATTGTGACAGGTCCACACCATCGTCACATTGTGACGGACAAATGTCAGTGGAAATAAAATATCTATCTGTCTCTGGGATTGTTTGCCACGCTTTTACGAAACAGCGTTCGCCAGCCAACACTGTCGTGGACCTTGACCTTGGGGTTAGGTTAAAACAGCATGGTGTGAACGGAGTCTTCCTCATCGCTTAAAATACTTAGAAGTAAGGAAACCACTATGTGTGCTTTTTGTATCAGTTCAAGAATTGATTTATCTGGAATCCTACGTGTTTATACCATCAATCCTAGCGTGTTGAACATGGGATGATATGCTTTATACATGACCATTGTTTATTGGCATGTCTACATGTTTAGAGGATAGTGTTAAATTAAGGGAGTTTTCACATTCATTCATCTGGGGTCCCAACCCCTTCTATTTTTAATATCTCAAAGACATTTTAACTTGTATAAACATAAAGGTGTCTCTTAGATAGATGCGCTTTTTAAATGTAGGTGTTTAAAGTGACACTATTCTTCTCCTTCTATATATTAAGGGCCCACGATCAATGTATTGATTATTTTTGGCTCCTTTCCATGTAGAAAGGATTTGCAATGTTTCTGTGCCTGGTTTTGATGAGGATATTTCACTGGTTGCAAGGGCTACTTTGTGAGGGTATCATGGAGATAGGGTTGGAAGCCCTGAGGCAATAGACGCAAATGTTTCAAGTGTTGTCGCCTCAACTGTCCATTTTGGAAACTTGTTCCAGTCCCTGATTGTCTTGGGCAGGAATGAGCAGCTCCTATACTGGCTTCTCGCTGGTATGAGCCGGAATTGCCTGTCATGGCCTCATCGCTGTCTATGGGGGAGAGGGACGAGTTTCTGTTTAATACTGGAACAGTGGACCAGCCCATTATTTATCTTACACATTATGGAGAGCCTGCATAATCGCCGTCGTTCCTCCAATGGTGACCAGCCTAGTGTTTCCAGCGTGCTGCAAACACTATAATTATTCCTCTAGCGGTTCAAAACTTAAATTGTTCCTGCTTTTCCTAATAGTTTGTTTATATTTATTTATTTGTACGCTGGAATAACTTTTTTTCATTATTTTTCACTCTTACTCACTATAATAAGCAAAAAGATGATGCAATAGCCAAAAAGCAACACACAATTTTGGTGAAGGTTGCCACATTTAAACAAAATCTAAATTACCCATGTTTAGTGTGCATTTTTGTATCTAATAAATTCTATGTTATTATTTAAACGTATGAAGTATAAAACCGAAATACTTCTTCCACTTTGCCTTGAACAAGTCATTCACTGGGCAAGGGAGACAATGCTAATGAAACAATTTTTGCTCAGATCACCAAACCACTAGTAATAAATTAAGGTTGTAAGTTTATGATATTAATAAATAAACCATTCCGTATTGATAAATGTTGCCATATATTATCACTAGTAATATCTTGTTATAATATGAATGGCCTTCAACTTTTTTAAATTCTTACTTTACTACTAATGGGGAATTTTATTATTATATAGTATATAATAATACTTATTTATATTATTTATCCCTATGCTATGCCTATACTTTTACTATATATTTATAATCACTATAATTATATTAATAGTTGTAATCGTTTAATTAAATTAAAAGCCTGCTATGCGTCTTAAATTTACCATTTTTTAATTTTGCATCATTATAACTAGAAAAAAAAAATTAATAGCCGATGACGATGATCTCTTAAACTTAAAAATAAAAAAATTAAAAGTTAAGTCTGAAGTCCAAACTAAGACTGGTTTAATGTGGTTACAGGCTTGATTTTCTAAGACTACAACAAATATCTTTTTCTAAATCTAACTAAAGTAATTTAGGCTACTCAATTACTGATTTTTTAAATGTTTTATAACTAGCCCAAAACTAAATCTTCTTAGACTTAGACTTAGTGGCTTAGACTTATTTAAACTTAATAAGGGCTACTACTTTAACTTATTAAAATTTAAAAGTTAGATTTAGATGGTTTAACTATTATATTAATACTTTAAACTTTAATGTGTAGGCCTATACTATACTATACAAATTTAAAAGTTAACTATTGATAAGACATCATGGCTTACTGACATCATAATCTAGTAATAGCATTAACATCATTATTTGTTGAGATTTAGATCAGCAGGCTACTGTTATTTTAATTACGGCAGTGTCAACACGTCCAGCGACCGATCGGACAAATAGTGCGGAAGATATTCATCCGGTGGGCATGTCACGCTTTATTTAACATTGTCATTTTTTAACCATTTGCCATTTGTTCATTATATATGTGAAAATATGAAATTAAATTAAAGTTAATAGTAGTAGTAGGTTTAAAACACTTTAAGTAATAAGTTAAGATAAAAAAATAATACTATAAAAGTATGTTTACAGTAAATAAATGACTATCATGTAATAATAACTGTAATTGAATATAAAAAATAAAAAAATTATAAATAGTTTAAGAGCTTTGTAATATACTGTAGGCTATATATTTGGAAAGAAACAATAAAAATTTTTCAAACAATAGTAGGATAGTCATTTTAACTTCAACCCTATTTACTATTATTAATACTATTAAACATACACAAGTTTGCAAAGAAATAAAGGACAAATGATCAATAAGTCCTTTTGATATTGGCAGCATTGATTAATTTTTTAAGCAGCATTTACAAAACCATGTTTTGCTCTTTGGCTCAGACTTCAACGCAACACACTTCCTATTCTATTATACCAATTTAAGCAGTGGTCACATCATATAACAAAGCACCTCATAGTTCATTGTCACAAGCTTGACCCAGCCAGAGGTTCGTCTTCTTGATCGTATCAAGCTTAGTTGTCAAATATGACCAAGACTTGGTCGCCGGACAAATATCTCGAGAACGTATTCGTCCGGTCGCCGGACATGTAGACACTTCGTTTAATAAATGAATAAATGATTAAAATTTTATAAAAAGTTATTTAAGTATTATGCCTACTGCTGTACTGTACTGTAACACTCACCACCTTACTACACTGTACAACAGCATTCCACAAATGGTGGTCTTTGGAGTGGCATCAGTCTGCTAGCCTTACTTTGCTGATACGCACAACATGAATATTTATTATTAAAAAAAAAGAAACTATAATTTTAAAAAAATTCTGACATTGAGAAGATTTGAGGTTTGCTTCAAATAAAAAGAAGTTAAGTAAGCTTTATTAGGGTAATTACTTGACTTATTAACTCAATTAACTCAAGTGACCAAAAATTAGCTGTACAATTTTTAATTCGATTTAATTAAATTGTTAAAAAAGAATGGTATTAACTTTAGAAAATGACACTGAAGAACGCTTTTTATGATGTTGAGCATATTTAAATATTACACTATGGTATTAAGTACAGTATCAATCAATCTGCTTAAGATGTTTAAGTCAAGAGTTCTGATTTTAAACTTAACATAATTTTTTTTTTTTAATCAGTTCAAGTTTAGTTCAAGTTAATATCATTAACTCTTATTTCAAATTTTGTTTGAAATCATTGGACACAACATTTTAAGTAACTAGCTAGTGGAGTAGCTAGGGGGGTTGTGGTCTGCACCGGGTGAAAACCAACCTTTGTTGCGCCACTGACTAGCTACATCAATTAAAGAAAAGCTTAAATGTATTTCATTCATCTTTTACTCATTAGAATTAGGTCAAGATCATATGTGTATAAAAATGTTATCATAAGTGCAGGGGTTGTAATAATTAAGCCTCAAATGTTAAACTGTACAGATTATATTTAGTTTATTATGACAATTTTTAAGTTTTTAAAATTTTTCCTTTCCATCAATTTATTATATACTTTTAGAAGGGAATTTTTTTCTTCTCTTTAAGCAGGTTACTTTATAATGGGAAAACTCTTTCAGCAAAGTATGGATAACCTGCCCGGTGTGCTGGTGATGTGTTCATCAGTGAAGTTCTCATTTATAGCTTTGCTCATGATAACAATGATAAATCCATGCATATGCAATCAAATGGATCCTCACGTCTACCCAAACCGTGGCCCATTTTTTGAAGGATGGTAGGTTATCCCGTTATATTATTTTAGAGGTCACTCATCAAACATAAATGTCAAAATTGATTTTATTTTGAGTTTGAAAAATAAGTTTTATCTTTAAATTTAAATAAGGGCTAAAAGTATGTGATGTGAGCATTTTAAAGATGGTTGGGTCATAAGTTAAATAAATTAAAATTGTCCTACTAATAAATTAAAGTTGCCCTACTAATAAATTAAAATTTCCCTACTAATAAATTAAAGTTGCCCGTATAATAAATTAAAACTGCACTACTAATGAATTAAAATTTCCCTATTAATAAATGAACATTTTCACAGTTCTGTTAATACATTAATTTCTGCTGGTCATTGCACTTTAAGTATTTCATCATTTTGATTATGGTCTTTCAGGTATTTGCGAATAATTGACCCAGGAGAGAATCTCTCACTAGGATTTCTGTTTGGACTTGTCCTGCCAATAGAACAACATTCTCAGCAGTATCAAAAACACTGCCACAAACTTGTGAATCAGCTTGAAATAAAAAGATGTTTAAATGAAGTCTTACAAATGCAGAAACATGCATATGACTCTAACTTAAAGGCACATAATTCATCTTTTCCTCTTGTATACACAAGCTTGCTCCTAAGTTTTAATTCAACGACCAAACTTGACACCCCCACTGGATTTTTCAACCCTGATGATTGCAGCGTCACCAAAGATGGCAGGCCAGTTACGAAAAATCCAGATGATCTGACGCCTCCGAATTTTGAAGCTGTAATATCCCAAAATCTTTCATTTGCCGTAACTGAGAACAAAACCATGTTTTCTGTCACAGTGGGCAATCATATTTTCAAAGGATTCACATTTGCACCTGTCCCCTGGGGACCCGGAGGCGAAGGGCCAGAGAGCTGGCTTGAAAAGATGCCACTCCCTATCCACTGGTTTGTGTACAGCCTCCACTCAACTGTCAGATATTATGAATATGTCAACCTTGAGTCTGGAAAAATAATAAGAGGTGGTTCCAAGCCGGGGGCACCGGTGATTGCCCACATGGAGAAAAATTGGGGCAAAAGTTTCCCGAAAGCATGGGTTTGGGCAGAGGGAGTCGACATTGCGGCAAACGTTGCCTTCTCGTTCTCTTCTGGAGTCATCACAGAGTTGGGAATGGACATCGACGCCCAGCTGTCGGGATACAGGAATGGGAAAAAAAATATTTCTTGCAGCTTTAATCCTGTAAACAGTGTGCACACCTTAGTCCAAGATGGATGCTCTGGCACGGCAGTGTTGACAGTCAAATGTTTGGATTGTGCTGTGACATTTGACCTTTCCGCACCCCCAGATACTTTGAGCTACTGCCTGGCCACACCGCAGGTTGTTGGCTTTAAGAAAGGCTGTGTCGAGAGCTACGTGGCCACAGCCCGGGTCACAGTTCACCAGCGCCGTGGGGTCTCCATGGTCCTCACAGACAGCCACACCATTAACCAGGCGGCCCTTGAGTTTGGTGAGAAGTATATGTGTAATGGTAGCTGCCCACCAGAAGTATATGTGTACTGGTAAGTCCCCACCAGAAGTATATGTGTAATGGTAGAGGCCCACCAGAAGTATATTTGTAATGGTAGGTGCCCACCTGAAAGTATATGTGTACTGGTAGCTCCCCACCAGAAGTATATGTGTACTGGTAGGTCCCCACCAGAAGTATATGTGTACTGGTAGGTCCCCACCAGAAGTATATTTGTAATGGTAGGTGCCCACCTGAAAGTATATGTGTACTGGTAGCTCCCCACCAGAAGTATATGTGTACTGGTGGGTCCCCACCAGAAGTATATGTGTACTGGTAGGTCCCCACCAGAAGTATATGTGTAATGGTAGGTGCCCACCAGAAGTATATGTGTAATGGTAGGTGCCCACCAGAAGTATATGTGTAATGGTAGGTGCCCACCAGAAGTATATGTGTAATGGTAGGTGCCCACCAGAAGTATATGTGTAATGGTAGGTGCCCACCAGAAGTATATGTGTAATGGTAGGTGCCCACCAGAAGTATATGTGTAATGGTAGGTGCCCACCAGAAGTATATGTGTAATGGTAGGTGCCCACCAGAAGTATATGTGTAATGGTAGGTGCCCACCTCAATTTTGATTTCAATGCCTAAAAAATCTCCCCCTGTTTAATACTGTTTACATTCCTTCTGATTTAATAATCATATTATTTATTGAGCTGTCCTCATAGGATATTTCAAACTTTTCCTACTTTTTGAGAGACTTTTTTTGTGAAGGCATTTAAACAGGATTTTATGACTAAAGAAAAATTTTGAACATTTTTTAATGATCATCGAATGGATTTACTTGGCAATTTGTATTTGCATTTTTTGTGTGTTCATGTTTACACCATTGGCGCTTGGTGAATGTTATTCTTATTTATTCTCCATTAGACTTGATGTGTATATATGTTGACTTCAAGTTTACTGCGCAATATGTTTTGATAAATAATGAACTTGCTCATTTATCACTGTGATAACTGTTACCATGATATGTATTGAGTTCTATTGAGATTAAACAAATATATTGCTAACAGGAATCGATCAGGAACAGCAGCAGAGAAGTAAATGGATACGGATACAAATCCATAACTAATCGGATTATAATCCAAAATATTAAAACTCAATGTTTTCTTGTTTTTGTTTCTTGTTACCGTTAAAAGGAGAATGACCTGGAACAAGTCCAAGTGATTTGTTTTTTTTTTATGTGACTTAAAAGAAAAAAAGTTTGTATTATAATATTTTACAGTGGTTCTCAACAATTCTAAAAGCTCAGGATTTAAAATATATATTTTTTTTTTAAAGGATTTTAATTGACTACTTCTTTTTAAAATATTTTTCTACAACTTCATCTATTTATTTACGTACCTATATAATCCAGAATAAGGTTCACAGTCCTGATTTGATGCACTCGTTATAGGTTGCTCTTCTATGTATTGAGATTTGTCAACTTTACCAACACAAATTATGGTCACAATCTGGTTTTTTTAAACCGATTTTATAATACTCTTATCATAGCTTTGGTGCTACCTTATCAGACTACTCTTTTCCTACCTATAATAAACTCTTGTGCTATCTTATAAAACAACTCTTGTGCTACCTATAAGACAACTCTTGTGCTACCTTATAAGACAACTCTTTTCCTACATTTAATACAACTCTTGTGCAATCTTATATGACAACTCTTGTCACTTGATAGATTTAATAAAAACTTATCAATAAAAATATTTTTTAAAAATTTATTTCTAATGTGAGTGTTGTATTTGTATTACCAGTACTTAATTTACTTACTATGTTGATAAATCTCTTCTTATAATATCTTCTTTCTAACTTGCTAATCTTGTGATATGATGTATGACTACAAGAGTCTAAACGCGAAAATGATAGGACTCAAAGAGTCCAGGCTGAGAACCTCAGGGTTCCCTTTATCAAAATGGTAGGACTCACAGAGTCCAGGCTGAGAACCTCGGGGTTTCCTTTATGAAAATGGTAGGACTCAAAGAGTCCAGGCTGAGAACCTAGGGGTTCCCTTTATGAAAATGGTAGGACTCAAAGAGTCCAGGCTGAGAACCTCGGTGTTTCCTTTATGAAAATGGTAGGACTCACAGAGTCCAGGCTGAGAACCTCGGGGTTTTCTTTATGAAAAGGGTAGGACTCACAGAGTCCAGGCTGAGAACCTCGGGGTTCCCTTTATGAAAATGGTAGGACTCAAAGAGTCCAGGCTGAGAACCTCGGGGTTCCCTTTATGAAAATGGTAGGACTCACAGAGTCCAGGCTGAGAACCT